AAATGTGGAGTACGGTGTATAGGCATGGTGACGAGTATCTATACACCGGTGTCTAGCATGACCGTGAGTCCTTATTTGTGCTTATTTGGGATTCTGTAGTGACTCTTCTTTGTTTAATTGATGGTTGCTATATAATGTGAACAGTATGAAGAGGAAATATGACTTGTAAACTCCTTGGAGCGTTGGCTCAAATTATGACTTGGTTAGGAAGTAAGAAATGAACGAAAGAGAAAGAGATGTAATTATTCCCTTGCCGGGACGTGTAAGTTATTGTCGTTGCTCCCTTGCTAGGAACTAGTTGTTACTTCTATTCTCCCTTGCCGGGATAGTTGAATTGATTCTTGTTCCCTTGCCGGGAAACCATATATATATTATTAGAAGGGATCGTGTGGCACGCCGACCACTTATATATTATGAAATGGGATCGTGTGGCACGCCAACCACTTATATATTACGAAATGGGATCATGTGGCACGCCGACCACTTATATATATTATGAAATGGGATCGTGTGGCACGCCGACCACTTATATAACATGAAATGGGATCGTGTGGCACGCCGACCACGTATTCTGTGTTAGAAGAGATTAGTTGTAGTTTTCCTTACTTATTCCTACCGTTCTATTTTATCTGTTATCCCCAAAAGCATGTTCCCCTCCCAGTCTTAATTATTACTTTCCGCTGTTATTTTTGTAGTGTTTGTATATATATATATCTGCACAGGTTAATTGGTAGTCCTGTCTAGCCTCGTCACTACTTCGCCGGGGTTAGGCCAGGCACTTACCAGCACATGGGGTCGGTTGTGCTGATGCTACACTCTGTGCATCTTTTTGCACAGATCACAGTATCGGAGCAGGAGCTTTTGGACAGCAGTAGGAGCATTGGGAGCTGACTTCAGTCCAGAGATTCCCGAGGTAGCCTTGCTGACGTCCGCATGGCCCGGAGTCTCTCTTATCCTTGTTTTTTTCGTTTGATTTTCTTTGTATCGGATGAGACAGTACTGTGTTTTTATTCAGACTTTGTATTTAGCATTCTGTAGAAGTTCGTGAGTTAGTGACACCAGATCTGGGTAGAGATGTATTTGAGTTTCCGCACTTGGTTTCAGTTATTTATGTTTTGAGACTTCAGCTTTTATATTAATTGTCTCGTCTTTCTTTAGACTGTTGATGTTGTCAAGAGAGGTATTAAATTAATTGGCTTGCCTAGCTCCTATTAGTAGGCGCCATCACGACTCCCGAAGGTGGGAAATCCGGGTCATGACAATAGGATGGGCCTTGGCCCATGCAATTCTTTTTTTTTTTTCTTTTATTTATTAGGCTAATGACTTAAATGTCCTAACTTAAGTATCGAGTATTACATATGTTCTACGTCTTTTGTTCAGGAGCGAATTCAAAATTCGAATTTTATTAGTTCAAATTCAAAAATTCTTCCGAAATGCACTTCGTTTAATTATGGGGTTCGATCCGCCCCTGCCTTTTCTCTCTTTTACCCACCAACCCCCCACAACTTAGGTATAGATTTTACTTATTTTTTTTGTATTTTAGGTCACAACATCAAGCAACATGCATTGACTTTAAGTTAAAAAATAAATATGGACGTGCAAACTGCAAGTAATTGAATTCTTGCTCGGGCTTTAATATATATGAAGAGATTTAAGATTAGAGACTCAATTAACGATGACTATTTGCTAAGTATTAATTAATTAATGTACTGAAACGAAGAGAAAAACGAAGAAGCAAGTGATGCGGACAAATGTTAAACTGTGTTTTTACATGCATACACCAGTATTTTAAAAGGCTTTTTCAGGACTCGTCTTGGAACTCGTACTAGAACGAAGCTCTTGCAAAACGCCCTAAGCCTCATATGTTGGACTTAGTTATGTAATGCTTTACGCACCAAATGCCCGACTGTGCGTCCCAAACATATTCCAATTATATTTGCATTATGATAATTCATCATAAATTGATAAGTTTTACGTTGATGGCCAATTTATCGAAACCCTCTTTCTTTATCCGGACTTGAAATTGATCGACAATGTGAGCAAACTCACATATTATCACGACCCAATTTCCAAACCCGGTCGTGATGGCGCCTCTCGTGAAGACAAGGCCAGCCAACTAACCCAAATAGTTAACTACAACTTAACGGCAATAATAACCGGTGTTTACAACCCAACACAACCCGACAGGGGTGTCACAAGTCACGAGCATCTAAAGAAAACCTTAACACAACTACAGGCCAGTAAATATATACTAGTAAAATTTCTGGTAACAAAAGACAACATCCGGTGCCGCGAACGCTGGCGGTCACCTTGCTCAGCTACGATAACAATACCTTCAATCCGCTAATAACCCGCTACCGGGTGAACGATACCTGCAACTGCACGCGAGGTGCAGGGAGTAAAGTGAGTACTTCCAACTCAGTGAGTAATAGAAGTAAATAATAACTGAGCAGCAAGAAATCACGTAAAGCAACCAATAGGCTATACAGAAGCCGGGTACAATTTCCGAGAAAAACAGTGAAATCAGAGAACTTCTTTAGAAATGTTTCGGCTCAGTTCAAATCTCTTTTGAAAATGGTCCTTTCAATAATCACGAAAGCTGTTTCAAATAGTTAGTGCTGATTAGCACAGAAAATCCGCCCCTCGGGCACAAATACCACAGCATAGCAGGTAAAAATGCAAATAAGTATGCAAGATGAACACATAAAAGTTCGCCCCTCGGGCATGAATTTCGTTACTAGTCAGTCATTGTTACCTGACCGGTCAGCCATTGTTACCTGACCAAAACGCGTATTACAGTGCCATTTTTACCACTGGTCAGTCATTGTTACCTGACTGGTCAGCCATTGTTACCTGACCCAACGCGTGTTTCAGTGCCATTGTTACCACTGGTCAGCCATTGTTACCTGGCAGGTCAGTCATTGTTACCTGACCAAAACACGTATGACAGTGTCATTGTTACCACTGTCCAATTCTAAATGGGTACCCGCGCTCACTGTGGGTGTGCAGACTCCGGAGGGGCTCCTACAGCCCAAGCGCTATATCATCATAAGGCCTGAAAGCCTGTACATATCAACATGAGGCCTGAAAGCCTTCTCACAGTACACTCGAGGCCTGAAAGCCTCCTCACAATACACTCGAGGCCTGAAAGCCTCCTCACATCACTCAGCATATCCTCACATATGGCCCTCGGCCTCAATCAGTCCAAAAATAATCATAAGCCCCTCGGGCATCAGTAAAGAAACAATAATGCTCAGCTCAAACAGTAGTTCAAATATCAGTTAAAACTCGAGGTTGAGTAAAAATATAGCTGAGTTCATGAAACAGTGTAATGACAATGGACTGAGTTCAAATAATATTTCAAATAGTGAGGAAAACAGTGATGATAGCTCATAGGGAGTTCAAACAGTCGGCAATAAGCCCCAAATATGGCAATAAGCCCAAGTCCTAGTGAAAAACAACAAGTCATAGCGAAATACGCGGTAAAATCAACAACCGGGACGGACCAAGTCACAATCCCCAACGGTGCTCTGCCCCACGCTCTCTATCTGGCGTGCAAGTCACCTCAATATAGCACTATGGGTGCAAATCCGGGGTTTCAAACCCTCAGGATATCATTTACAATCATTACTCACCTCGAACCGGCGAAATCTCTAGCCCGCGATGCCTTTGCCCCTCAAATCGGCCTCCACGCGCGTCGAATCTAACCAAAATCAGAGCGAATACGTCACACTAAGCCAAGGGAACAATACCCAATCGAAAACAATCAAAATATAGCAAAAATCTCGAAACTAGCAAAACCCGAGCCCCGGGCCCGCTTCTCGAAAAATTATGAAACTTACATTACCGGATTCCTCGTCTCGCCACGAGTCCGTACATACCAAGAACTCCCAAATCCGAGCTCAAATGACCTATCAAATCCCAATTTGAAAGTATAAAAACTCAAGCCCTAGCTTTTCCAATTTTTACTCCAATTTCCATGAATTAAAGGTTGATTCTTCAAATAAATAGCGTTTCTAGGTCACGAGACTTACCTCCAATCGATTCCCGTCAAAATCCTCTTCAAGTCCTACCAAAAAGCTCTTGAGGTGGTTCAAAAATGGAGGAAATATCAAATGGGTCGCGGATGAAATGTCCTTAATTAACCCTTCTGTGATGCCCAGTTCCTTCTATGCGAACGCGAGGGTCCTCTCGCGTTCGCGATGAACAAAATTTCCACAGACCAATTTTTACTCTACGCGAACGCGTAGCACCAGACGCGAACGCGATGCACTCCCAGGCCCTCTTACGCGAACGCGACATCACCATCGCGAACGCGATGAATAAACCAAGCTGGGCCCCCAGACTCCTCCTACGCGAACGCGGGGTCCCACCCGCGAACGCGATGACCAACAGAAACAGGCCTACGCGAACGCGGCCTATGCCATGCGAACGCGAAGGCAAAATTATGCCTGCAACAGCTGCTGAAAATCTGCAACACTCCAAGTCAAATTTTCTTCCGTTTGATCACCCGAAATCACCCCGAGGCCCCCGGGACCTCAACCAAAAACACCAACCTACCCCAAAACATCATACGAACTTGTTCCAATCATCAAAACACNTTTATATTGTATTAGGTATGAATTCCATAATTTCGTAGCAATAAACTGAAGAGTTTGCCACGATCAGCTTTAGCCACAAGAATTTATATATTGTAACTAACAATTCATATTTTAGCTCAAATATATAAATTTTAGCAAAATATTTTCAATTGTTTTTAATAAATGATATACATTAGTAAGAATACATAATTAAAGGTTCAACAATATCATTCAAGATAAATTAAAATACTAAAATGTTGTTATACTCAAAACGTAACGGTATTCTTCTACAAGAGAAAGAATAATTTCCTACATAGCTACTTTTACAACACGAATATACAGCTTTAAAAGAAAACTAGCTAATGTGAGACTGGATAGTGATGGTAACCATCAGCGGAATATGAAGAGAAGTGAAAAATCCAAAAGTGCTCCAATGCTTTTCTAATACCAGATTCCGATCGCGAGTTGAGAGACATTAGTGGATTGTATTTGTACCAAATGCGTGAAAGAAAGTGTTCTTCTTATGGATATCAATAAGAAGGGCGCAGTAAATAAGACTGCCATGTTACCCTCCTAATCTTGCAGGACTGCCACCTTCTCTTTCTACAACTATATATGAATGAGTCATAGACTCTAACCTGTATATACAAAAATGACATCAACACCATAAGTTTAGTACATTAACTAGTTGGGACTTGTTAATCACGTTTGAACTAAACAACAGTTTCTTTGGTAGGGTAAGATCTGCTTTAAAACCTTAAGATTATTAAAGCATATACGAAAAGACTAGAAACCGTTCAAAACATAAGCCTTATTTAGCAGCTCTTAGTTTGAAGCACAACATTATCTCAGCAAATTCATTGGATAGCGTCTACAAGTAAGCCAGCATTTAAAAATACCTTTAGAATGTACTCAACAACAAGTGCAGTCTCGTTCCCCTCCAAAGCTTATGCCTACATGGAGAATACATCATGTATGAATTGCGATAAATTCATTAAGAAGAATAATATATATAGTTAGAGAAAAGCCATTCAAGAAAATCACACTGACCTTTATGAATAGGTCAAGATCTTCATCAGGTTTTATTCCTGCCATCTTTTCTCTTCTTGAAAGTTCCAATAGCATATCTGTAAAATTCAACAGTTCATCTTAGGTAATGTAGGAAAACTGGAAGACTTGCATAGAGCTTTACCATATTTTGATCCAACACCCTGACAATATGCTGAGAAGTCCATAGTTTCCCTTACAGTCATCTCTGTTATATGCCAATCTTGTTGACTGACATAAGGGGATGTCTTTTGAGGAAAAACTCTTTCAGACCATGTCCATTGTAAGTAATATTCCCTGACGTCTTCAAATTGATCAACATTTTAGTAGAATATTGAGGGAAAAAAAAGATTACTATCTAGCAGAACATGTTCTTTCTCTACCTTTCTCTTAGAAGAATACCGTTACGTTTTGAGTATAACAACATTTTAGTATTTTAATTTATCTTGAATGATATTGTTGAACCTTTAATTATGTATTCTTACTAATGTATATCATTTATTAAAAACAATTGAAAATATTTTGCTAAAATTTATATATTTGAGCTAAAATATGAATATTTCCGGTGATTCGGTTAGCTTCGGGAGATGATTTGTGACTTGGGAGCGTGATCGGAATTTATTTTGGAGGTCCGGTGTAGAATTAGGCTTGAATTGGCGAAGTTAGTATTTTGGCGAATTCCGATTGATAGGCGAGATTTTGATATAGGGGTCGGAATGGAATTCTGAGAGTTGCAGTAGCTCCGTTATGTCATTTGGGATGTGCGTGCAAAGTTTCAGATCATTCGGACGAGGCTTGGTAGACTTTTTGATCGAAAGTGCATTTCGGAAGTTTTTGAAGAACTTAGGCTTGAATTCGATGTGATTTGATGGTTTTAGCGTTGTTTGATGTGTTTTGATGATTGGAACAAGTTTGAATGATGTTATGGGATATGATGGTGCTTTTGGTTGAGGTCCCGGGGGCCTCGGGGTGATTTCGGGTGGTCAGTCGGACCATTTTTGGTCTTATAGTAATGCGGCAGTATATGAAAGTGTTGGAATAAGACTTTAGCTAATAAGAGGTTTCTATCGGTATTTGGGTATTGTGGGCAACTGCTGTGAATAGAGACTATCGTTTCGAGTGTTTGAATTATGTGGTATATCATATGATTTCACCTGAGGTTGCAGGTATGGGTTATTTCAGCTGGTTCGGGCTTATTCTGAGTATAAATGTGAGGATCTGATCTTGTGTATGATTTCGGAAAGTGCAATGTGGTTCTACGGTTTATGGTTTTGATGGACTGTGAAATTTCAGCTATATTGTGTTACCGGACCTATGCGAGATGGGGTGACGTGGGATCACCCCGGGTATATGTTTGGTAAGGTCATTCAGCTATTGGTTGACTTCTAGGACAACTCTGGGTACCCTCGAGGACGAGTATTGGTTTAAGTTGGGGAGGATGTGACGACCCGACCCGTCGTATCAGGTATTACTGTCCCGTTTTCCTCATTTATTACTTCTTCATATTTCATTACCGGTATGTGGTAAGTTAGAGTTGATTCGGATTGGTAT